TTTCTAAGAGTTTTTTTTTTAAATGAGAATGGTAGTTATAAAATGTGAGCTGCAAAGTGGACTTAAGATTTGAATCCTTCTTCACAAGTTAAGATTTTTTACTCATAGTTAGATAAAGAGCAGTTAATGCAAATCCTTCTAGAAATTATTTTACTTTATTGAGCAGTGTTCTTTCTGTAATTTAAGAAATAACCAGCTTATGCATTTAGTCATATTACATTATATTAACTGCAAATTATGATTTTACTAAGTTTGTTTTTTTCAAAAACTATATATTGCTGCCAACTTAAACCAAAGTATTTCTTGGTTTTACCATGAACCCTTGTGCATATTCTACAGACAGATGGCAACATTCAACAGTAACATCATTTCACCCATCCTTCCTACTCTGTGATTCCCACAGGCCAGGTTATCTTCCAGAACCTCCTTTTAATTGTAACAAAGAAATTTTCCTTAAAACTGATGCTATAGAATAGTTCCCTGTAATTTTTCATGTTATTTATATAATTTCCCTGGCAGCACACTGTGCTATTATATGCTATAAATCATATTTTATTTTGGAAAGAACTGCTGGTGGTGTTATTTTTAGGTCTAACTCTACTTCTGTTGATATCCAATCCGGCTAACAAAATAGCTGTAGGAACATTTAAAATCTCACATAGAGTGTTGGGATGACATCCGTATTACGAATGTTTTGGGAACAGCCGTACTATAGGAGTAAAAAATACAGCAGTGACTAAAGAGAACGTGCCCTGAACATATACACAGCTGCACTTTTACACTACTGAAAAATGAGAAAGGGGATTTACTTTTCCTAAGCACTATTTCCGTGGCCTTTTTCAGGCCAAGTAAATTGCCACAAATTACATTTACATGACATTTCAACCTACTTACAGTCAAATCCATTGGAAAATACAGTATCTGACACCAACAGGATTTTAAAGGTATGTTACATCACACAGAAGCCTGTAACTTCTATTTTTTTTCAAAGACCTAGAGTATACTTTTCTTTTACTGAGCTGTTATTACATAACCTAGAGTTGAATGCAGAAATGGGAAATTTAACCTTAGAAAAACTGCCTATTTTCTTTGCTTCATGCTTTAAAACGTTCATAACTGAGTAGTTAAAAATGGACCAGTAGAAAACAGTAGAACAGATCAAGTATTTTTACAGGGGTGCAAAGTCATTTAGTCAGTAAATAAAGGAAATTTGATCAATGAACCGGCAATGTGACATCTGGTGTGCAGTTTCACAGTCTTAGGGCATCATTCTGCTCTCTCTGGTACCAGCAGGAACCAGGAGTAACTCATGTAAATTAAAAGCACACCTCAGAGTGGTGTGGAGTCAGGAGGAAGCACTCTGTGTCCCAGTCTGTGTCTTTCAGTGTTCCATACCTGACTTAAGAGATCGGCTCGTTTACATAGCCCTACATTAGACATATTGCCCTCTTGTTTTAAAATATGTGTGTTTAATATTTAATTTAACAGAATTCCATATTCCAGTCCCTGTGTACTGTGCAAGTCCCTTTGAGGCTCGTGGTTTGTGTGTGCAGTCACAATTCTCCTCAAGTGTAATTTGGAAGCACCATTGCCTAATGGAGTGAAAGGAATCCTGGTTCTCTTTGGAGTGAGTAATGAAAATAATGCCCAGCCAGTGTCAATTTGTAAAGTGGGCTGTAGGAGTTGAGCCAGGCTGTCCAAAACTCATTTAATTTATTATGTGTGGCTGTGGAATACTGGTGGAGGTACAGGTCTCATCAATTGTCCCCACACTTCAAGCACACACAGGCAATTTGAACTACCAACTTCAAATGACAACACATTCCAAAATTTTGCCAAGTCTGAAAAATCGGTATGCTACACACATAGCTATTGCACATGAGACTGAATAAGTATCATAAAATAGGTACTGTAAATGTAAAATGTGCCTGTGCTTATATTTTCACAGAAATATAAAAATTATTTTTAATTATGTTGTGCAGTCAAATACTGCATAGTATTTGCTGAGAGGAGAAACACATCGATAATATGCAAAAAAGTAATTCCAAAATTTAAGAAAGTGCTCACAGGTTTTGAACTTCTGATCTGTTGGGGAAAACCAAAGAAAATCTGAAGTTACCCAAGGCCAATAACAGCAGAATGAAAATAGCAGTTTAAATGGTACCTGGGTGACCATCTCAGCTCACTTGCAGGAGAGCCTATTTTCAAGAACATTTGGCACATCTAGGATGTGGGATAGCTCTCTGAAGTAAAGAATATAAACATTAAAAGGTCATAAATAGTAGTACAGCTAAGTTATCCATTTAAATGGGAATGGGAAACTTTGCCATTTGGCTCTGAACCATTTTGTCATTCTGCATCCTAACGACAATTACATGTCCCATACTGATATTTCACTTTCAGTTTTCATAGAATTAGTGATAGTATTTCAGGAGTTAACAGAGGCAGAGTACTTTCTTTAGCGAAGATATGAAATTAGATTAGAAATTAGATTGCCTTGAAAACATTATATGCAGCAAAATGTGCACTCAGAGAGCCTCCAGGAGCAATCCTCTAGGCATGGCTACTTGTGACTTGAGTTTTACTTTTCCACAACAAAGGAAAAAAACAAAAAAACAAAACACCTCCAAAGATCTGTGGTGAGATTCTGCCATCTCCAAGAGACACAGCTCAAAACCACATAATCCAGGAGAAGTGAAATTGTTTCCAACACTTCCCATCCTCACAATCACAGGCTGCAGCAGGGGGCTGTAAAATCCCCCTGGAACGAACCCGAGGGGACCAGCACCCAGATGGCAGCTGGACTACCAACTTCAGATGTGCTGCAGCCTTCCCCCCACCAGGTTATCCCTCCTCATCCCTGTGCTCAGCATGAGGACTCCAGAGTTTGTCCTCAGACGGCATCTTTCAAGTACCTTTCACCATGTGCTACCAGGGGTATCGTCCCTTGGCCAGGAATAGAGCTTCTAAGGGCCTCTTTATGCCAATCTGATTCCTCTTATCTTACATAAGGGGCCAGGGCAGGGACAGAGCTCACTTTCTTAGCTCTAAATCTATCCTATATGGCACGCAATTCTCCAAAGTACAGCCAGCTTCTGCTTTTATGAAGCACTGTGCAGTGAAGAATGAAGGATCCTGTTTTTCACCATTTAAAGATGTATGATAGCAACAAAGCTCTATGTTAAAATATTTAACTCGCAGAGAACTTATGGAAATTGTCTATTCAAGCTCAGCAAAGACATTAAATTACCAAGCTGTTCTAGGACAGTTGTGTGTGGAGAAAAGCCAGAAATGCTCTGAGATTGTAATGTTGCTCACAAAGATTACAGCATGAGCCTGATTCAGAAGCTTTTTTATACAGCTTGGTGAGCTGCAAAATGTTACCATATCCATTTCTGCAAAACATACTGTGTGTGTACATATAGATATAAAAGCAGGACTTATACACAGCACATTTCCTGCCACATTTTGAGTGGCATCTGTTTGTTTAGTGTGCTGAAATATGAAAAATAATATTTAGCAACTACTGGTAACACAATGTTAACAAGATTTAAGAGTATAGCTCTGTCTGTCAAAATGCAGATAAAAGACAAATCCTTCTATCTCTGTGTTTTAATCAGTCAGATCAGAGGTTTGATGAATATGCAAATGTGACTGTTTATACACTAGTTTCAGAGTGAAAGGAAACAAATTCAGTTTCATTATAGAATTAATGACAGCTCTGTCCTCTAAGATTAATAATTAAAGCCCTACACACATTAAGATGATAGTGCTCTTTCCAGCCAGCCTCTGCAGATTTTACTTTTCTATTTTTTAATACCCCTTTCCCTTATAATTGTTTGTCCCCCTAATTGGAATGATTAATAATTAATGCCAGTTCATGGATATGCAATAGTCATCTTTAGAACAAGAACTGTATTTAACCTACAAAAAGGGGTTAAAAAATGACTTCTTTTGTTGATTCAGTTTTTACTCTTGTCTGTAAGTTAATTTTTTTCTCCAAGTTTTATGCCACCATAGGAATCTCAATGGCCTGCTTTAATGATGGAAGCCTTTTTATTTGTTTCAATGCAGGGTATACTTATGATTTAATTTTGATTTTCACAATATATGCTGGGTTTCTTTTCAAAGCCCCTACTGCTGGGATCAGCAACCTCCACAGCTTTCTGATTCTAAAACACACACTACAAGTTTAGACCAAATCAAATCTCTGAGAAAAGATTAAGAGTGCGGTACAAGTGCATTATAAAGCCTGAAAAAGCAAAAGTTTAAAAAAAAAAATAAAAAAAAAAAGAAAAGAAAAAGATATTTGAGCTATTATTTTTTAATCTGAAGATTTCTGAGTTGTCATGGGAGTGGCTGAGTCATGCTTGCCAAATCCCCTGGACAGGCAACATTTCAGAAGAAGATTATAGCAAAGTGAGCAGAAGTTCACCCTTACCATTAACCCTCCTTCCTGCTCCAGAAGAACTGTGACACTTCATTTTATGTGGCCATTAGGATCTATACAGAGACCACAAAATCCCTTCTAATTGCAAATCACCAAAGCATGAATTTTTAAGAGAAAATAAAATAGTTGGTTTGTGTATGGTTTGCATTATCTTATCAAGAAAAGTTATCTTCTGGGTCAAAAACCCCATATTTCTTTCTGAACAGAAAAGCTCTTCCAGAAAGACAAATGGTCAGAGTACTCCAAAAATCACATTTCTTCAATAAAGCTGCTTCAGTTTCATCTTGTAATGTGTTTAGAGGTGAACTGATCCTACATAGGAATCTAGCATTGCCTTGACTATCGCAAAGGAAATATTTAATGTGAAATTAAATCAGCATTTGTCTTTATTTCACCATGCAGGTACACTTCCTCCTGTGTCACTGATAGCAAGAAAACAAATACGTGTTTGTGGGTATTTTAGCGAGGATGATGACTGATACTCTGGAAACATTGAAAGGTAGACATCCATAATGAAGCCTGCTGGCTGGCACGCGTGCCTGGTACTTACCACGCTGAGCCCCAGCAGTTCCCTGCAGAAATAGTCCATGTTCCTCCTCTGGAGGTTGTCCAGGTAGTGCTGCAGGCGAGTGTAGGTGTAGGGGTAGCAGTAGGCAAATTGGTAAGTGTCGTCCTCTCGGTCGAAGCAAAAAGCGAAGGACATGACGTAGTTCTTCCTGTGGTCTGGGCAGCGGTAGTAATACACGTTTTTGGAGGGGATTCTTTGCCTGAGAAACAAACACATGCATGGAGATGGATTAATTGATGTGTACCTACACAGACACAGGAAATCAACTGAAAGGGCCCTGTGGGAGTCAGATTTCCTCCCAAGTAAATGAGTGGAACAGCTCAGGAACAGCTCGGGAGCTGGTGAGGAGATCCTGGTTTTGGGAGCACTTGTGACAGCCACTGTCACCACAGGGACTGCAGCCCTGCCTGGGTGCCCAAGCTGGCAGTGTCACCACAGCAGGGAGAGCATCATACAACCAGGGAAAACTATCCCACAAAGTGAAACACCACACACAAAAGGTGTCCAAATATCCTCTGCCTCATTATCAGGCTGCTGCAACCTCACACCACTCATAACTCAAACACCAGCCCCAGACAAACCTGCAGCCTTTCCTACAGGTTCAATTCACCAGCACAGAGAGGAGGCACAACTAATGAAGGAATGTCAGTATAAGGCAACACTGAAAAATCTGTTAGTGAAATTCAGAACATCTTAATAGATATATACATATAGATACAGATAGATATAGATATATTTATCCAAAATAGTCAGGATACATATCAACATCTAGCCAATGAATGGAACAAAAGATAAATTCTTGAGGTTAAAAAACAAACAAAGAGTCAATCTAAAAATCATACAAAAAACTTCAGGTATGGAAAATAACCAGGTCTTAAAATAGAAGGCAAAGGAGAAAAGAGTATTTGTTCCCATTTCAAATTGGACTGCTGCCCTCCTCAACATTTCTGGTTTATCTGACAAGATAGAAATGAATATACATGATGGTAAATAATTATAATAAAGACATTTATGTCATTGTTATCAAGGTGGTATCTCTTTGAGGAATAACAAATATCTGCAATCTCTTACACAACTCCATTTTGTTACTTTTCAAGAGAAATAAGTAATATTTCAGAGGAGCAAAAACTTATTCTGTGGATGAGAGATGTTCACTATTTCTGTTTTGTATGCTTTGTTAATTTCTTAGGTGGAATTTCTTCATTCAGACAGTAATAGTCTCCAATCATGCCATGCACTTGTAATTTGATATAAGTAACCTACCAGTCATGTTTGGCAACAAAATGCTATGGTCCTGCAGACTCTACCTGATTCAATTACACAACCTTATAAACAGGTCTCATCTAATGATTAAAGCAGATCTCAGCTAAACTGGGATCATGGTGAGGGAAGAACATAACAAGATTTACAGACATAGCACCAGTAATGTGCCTCAATGCAATCATTCCAAGAAGCTGGTCAACTGCAGAGCCTCAGTTTTGGCCTCTCACTGTTAATATGAATTAGAGGACAAAACCCTTTCATTATACACAGGTACATATTTGCCAATTAGCAGCAGTTAACAAGTCTGACCTGAGCAAGACTCAGGATCTACAAAGAGAAACGGACAGGAATTGAGATCTTCTTGAGGAAGTAAAATAAAGAACCAATGATTCTTTTAATTACACTCAGAAAAAGAATTTATCTGCCCTCTTTAATGCCCTGCTTCTTGAGCATTCAGGGCCTCAATAACTTCCTTCACCTTTGTGGCTGAGCAGGAGGCAGCTGTGCCCAGGTGGGCAGGAAGGCCGATGGCACCTGGCTTGTGGCAGCCAGAGCGTGGCAGCAGGAGCAGGGCAGTGAGTGCCCGTCTGTGTCTGCCTTCTGAGGCCACACCTCGAATTTAGGCTGGTTTAAGAAGTATATCTTCAGTGAAAGGGCTGACAAGTGTTGGAAGAGGCTGTCCAGCCATGTGGTGGAGTCACCATTCCTGAAGGTATTTAAAGGATGTGTAGATGTGGCACCTGGGGATGTGTTTTAGGGGCAGCACTGGCAGTGCCAGGATAACAGTTGGACTCAAAGATATTGAAAGATATTTTCCAAACCAATGAAATCTATGGTTTGATGATTTTTTTTGTTGTTAAATAAGACACTTGCTCATGGCAAAGATCTGGAAATCATATTTAACACACGAATATAAAAGACAGAAAAACAAAGCTTTTATTTTTTTTAAAAAAGTATCAGTAGGGATAAAATGCCACCAGCCATCTGCATGCAGCACTCTTACCTAATAGTTTTCTTCAGTATCTTAACATATTTCTATCATTTGCCCTTACTCTGGAGTGCTATAGGACATCCCTCATTTGATCTCAAATCAAGCAGATGATATGGCAGTGGGTAAATGTATTCCAGCTCCCAGTCCTCAAACCGTAATGCAAGTTTAAACAGTATGTTGCTGAGTTGTTGAACTTTATTTGTTTCCAAATTAGCATGGGAAAAATAATAAAGGACAAGCCTCACTTTGTGCTATAAAAATTTCATGTAAAATGAGACCAATAGGAGGAAATTCAGGATTTTAGAAAGGCTAATGCTAATTGAAATTCATCTGCTGAGAGCTAATGTTTAAATGACACATAGTTCTCCTTGGTTCAATAACTTTCTACTTTTAAGCAAGTTGAAGACAACTTTGTTAATGTATTAAAGGCACTTTTGATATTTCATTCCCTTTCCCCTTCATTATAAAAGCTAAGCATCTGTTTTATTATCCACTTTGACACATCACTTTATGGCTGCATTTGGCTATTATGGCTAATCTTGATGTCTAGGACATCTGGTATTGACATTTCACTATCTGGTGTCTGACACAACAGCAGAAACCATCCTCGGTTCCTAGGTTTAAATTCACCCTCTCAGGGCAAAAAGTGCCCAAACTCTTAATTCAAACCATATCTTCCAAAAATAATTATAATAGTACTCCTGTCACTGCTAATCTATTTTTATCTCTCCTAGCACTTTGTCACTGCTAATCTATTTGTGAGTCATATAGAGAAAGAGAGTTAGCGTTTAGATACCAACAACACATCTTTACACACAGGAGCTTAATCAGATTGAGATCTTATCAGGGAATTAAAGAAGAAAAGAAAAAAGGGAAAGAAAAGGAAAGAAAAGAGACAAAGTGCTAGATATCACCAACTGAGTTTTTGATAACGAAAAGACATTGCTCAGTTCTTGAATTAACCTTTGTGTCCTAGACACACTATTGTTTACTCTTTCCCTTTTTTGTTCTATGCCTTCTGGAAAAGGACACCCACACACTGTGGCAGCAGCTGCTCCTATTAATTTAAAGCTATTACAAAAATTAAAATTAAACCCAATTACTTTGGCTGGTTTATAGCTGGGGAACGGCTTAGTCTGATTGTTCCCTCTGGTTATGGACAAAAACAATATTCCTACCTACAGGCAGCTGCCAGTGGAATACTAATGCATCTAGGGCCTGGCAGGAACAGATTCAGAATGCAGAGTCTAACTGCATTTCTTACTAAAGAAAAATATCTTATCATGCATCTGCAGAAATGCACCAACTTCTTACGCTGTGAGTCACGATGAAGCTGATTTGTAGTGAGAGGCAGGAAGGCAAAATGATGGTGGAAACCTCAATGCTCTGATTTGCCCTTTTGCATTTCCAGGCAGCTCACACTCAGCAATGCATCCTGCTAATTGATACACACCTGCCCAGACCTCTGAGCTCCTGAATGGTTATTTAAAGGAGAGCCACCTCCATTCCAAATACAGCCACAGAGAATAACACGAAACAACTAATTTCCACTCTGTTTTCTAGATGTTTTTAAAGAAATGAAGCTTGATATTATACATCAGTTTGACACAAATTCAGAATGCCTAGTCTTAAACACAAAACTCTTTCTGTCCAAGGAAGAAGGAACACAGAAATGGAGAGTTTCTCTCTATTTTGATGCTAGTAGTCCACTGCCAAAATCTTGAGCCTTTGAGTGTCTTTTCCTCCGATCTGACAAGGCAGCACTCCCAACCCAGTGGATCAGTGCTCCAATGTGCTCACCAGTTCCTGTCTGTTTGCTGCAGTGCAGTCTGGAGTCAGGACATTTGTTCTGTTTTGGTAGTGTGCAATAGGACCAAATTTGTAAGTGTACAAAAAATAAAAATTAAAATTGTAGTCTTTATCCGGTAGCAAAAACCTCATGACTTTAGAGTCCCCAAGATTTTCGTCCTTTGTACTACAAGAAGCAGTAAGGGGTATAATTCAGAACTTCAAAACCTTTATCCTAACTATACTTCTAATTTGAACATTATTTTAACTTCAACTCTAAGAAATTTGATTTAAAATCAAACTTTATTATCTATAATTTTTTTTCCTTTATTTTTTTCTTTTTTTTTTTTATTTTTGTGCTACTTTCTGCTTATTTCCATTTGAAAATTTCGGGTTAATCAATGCTTTGGAGGACAAACACTGGGGGTATTGGTGGTACTGCTTTGTGGCATCTAAGTTTCAAATATAGGAGGGTGCTAATCAAACCCTCTTGTGGCACCACAGCAGAAGTAATTACAAAATAACAATTTTTGGAACGCTTTCCTCTCCCTATTGCATGACCAAAGCAGGGAGCTCTGGCCCAGCCAAATTCCCAATGACTTTAATGAGCAGCATAAATAGTCTTTGGACTGCTTTTAATATGGCACTCATAAAGTAATTATTCAGTTCCTTGCCTCCACAGGATCGAGTTAGACATATCACAGTCAGCAGACTTCAAAGTAAAATGATGATCTTTGGAGGAAAAACAAAAAGCTGCAGGTGCTGTAAAAAAATCGATGGCCAAAAGAAAAATTACGGGATCTGACTTGTAGAGAAATGCTCAAGTTGTGGTGCAGTGTTAGCTGTGGTGACACACTGTGGTGATCATTTTTAATTGCCATCCATTTGCACAGCTAGGGATACTAGTTAACAAATTTCCAAATTTCCAAACCTGCCTATAGAACTCAAAGGGGTGGGCCTGAGTCACAATCTCAAACAAAATTACACTGACCCAAACCCTGATTCTGATTCAACTTTGAAAAATAACCTCCAGGTATTTACTGATGTCCTAAATACTAGATTTGGCTCCTTCTGAGTGCTCAAATTTTACTCCTAAAGCTGGATGTCCCCAGTTATTAACTGCAAGAAATCCAACCAACTCTGGACAAAATCTGAGG